TACCACGGACTCTTAAGCAAAGGAAATAATTAACCTTTGATGGCCATTTTCTAATTAATTTTACCTCTGAAAACAGGTGACCTCCACCTCCTTCTTTCGAAAATATCTCGACTTGCTTTCAAGATAAATGGACATTTTTTCCGTCTACATAAAGACAAGTGAACAAGCTTTAAGATGATACCAATTACTCTACATGCCCAAAAATTGACGAGAGCCTGATTCCACCACGATGCCTCACATATTGTGTCTCTTAACGTTTAGCTCGCCCAGCAAAAGAAAAGAGCTTTTGATTCCCTTTACTTTGAGCCTTCAGATTTTAACCCTATCCGTACGCCTTATGGTCATTTTGTAGCCTGGGGCTGTATTCTTCACATATTAGAATACTTCTAGTGCGAAGATCTCTTTGGAACTTGCAGTATTTCTCAAAAACTAATTTTGACAGACTGCAATTTAAAAACAGAACGGATCAGATTAACGAGTAAATTTCCTCTTTGGAAAGTGGTAGCACAGAGTTCCCCACGTCGGATGGGTACGATAGTAAACCACGACGTACGGATAGAGTTAAATATATGGCAGTCCGTGGCTTTTTGAGAAATATTTACTGTAAGCTTAGTGTGTGGTTGTGGAACACATTAGTTTATTGCAATTTTTTATTTTACTTTCTTTGGTTCAAACAAGCAAAATTACCTTTTCCATGCTGTTAATTGGCAGTTTCCAAAACCTAACAAAACATATGCTCTCAAGCATGGAGCCATTTTTAAGAAAAGCAACAACAAAAAGTCAACTCCCTTTTACATCATCAAAATACAAAATGGGTGGTTGACGGTTGCTCTGGTGTGGTTTGCTCCTTCTGTCCTATCAAACATCTATCATCCTTATCTCCCCTTCTTCTTTTTTATGTATGTTACTCCCTTGTAACACCTCGAATCTTCGGGCGCTCATATGACCTTATGCAGTTGCGAGCGCCGCAAAACCTCTACTAAAACAAACAAAACAAACAAAATACAAATGTGAGGCAGAGTGGTGAAATCAGGCGCTAGTCAAAATGTTATCATGAATTTGAAGAAACTGCACTTTTCTGCTCGTTTGGCAATGTTTAACGAAATCTTTTTTTTTTAAACTTAACACCATTGTTATCCCATTAAGAACACTCTTTTGGGTGGATTTTACTGAAAATGTTGATTAAAGGCTAAAAAAAAGTACGTTTTCAGTGTTCACGAACTATCAAGCTATGGGAACTGAACTCTTGTTTTCTGTATGCGAAAGTAAAGCCCCAAACCACTACACCATGGAGGCAGGAAGAGAAGTTGTTTCTTTTGCGGTTGTGAAGAGGGTTTGTATGAAACACACTCCACAAACTCTCCAAACACACACACATGCTCTCTCTCTGTCTCTGTCTCTCTGTCTCTGTCTCTCTGTCTCTGTCTCTCTGTCTCTGTCTCTCTGTCTCTCTCTGTCTGTCTCTCTGTCTCTCTCCCTGTCTCTCTCCCTGTCTCTGTCTCTCTGTCTCTCTCTTTCTCTCTCTCTCTCTCTCTCTCTCTC